AGATGCACCGCTTGTCAGGCCACGTTGTGGCGGCGTCCCATATAAAGTGGAGGAAGATGGGCACAGATGTCAGCCCAGGGCCAGTCTTCCTCAGCAAAAAAAAAAAGGGGAGGATTGGCATGGATGTTAGCTCAGGGCTGGTCCTCCTCACCAAAAAACAAAACAAAAAAAGCAAACAGAATACAATCCTTGCGCTTGTGTTTTCTAGCTAGCACTATGTCACCTCAAATCACTTCATTATTTCTGAGCCTCTGTTTCCACATTTGCTAATTGGGAACAGAGACGCTTGTTTTTGTCACTAGGAAGATAAATGAGTTATAGTCTAAGAGTCTGAAGTGTGTGTTTTGTTGTTGTTTGTGGAGAATGGTGGTAGATTTGCTTTGGCCCTTAAAAAGCAGAATGGGTATTTTTGCCTGGGCTTTATTAGAGATTTCCAGAGGTGGCTGAGACAAAGGGTGGAAACATGCTCGTTAAAAAGAAACCACAGTACAAAAGTATACACACTTCATCAAGTTTCTCTCTTCTCATGCTCCAAGAACTAGAGAACAGCCACAGTGTCTCTTATTTCAGAACTTTTTCGTGTATGTATTTATATCTTTATCCAGAAACACAAATGGGAGCACATTATATATACATCCTGTTCTCTACTCTTTTTTCCCTTCTCTTGAAATAAATCTCAGGCAGTTGTCCTGTAGAGCAGCACATGTAATGGATCTATTTTTGGAGGCTACAAAGTAGTCATCTTTTTTCTGTACTCTTAATTTACTTACCCAGAGCCTTACTGATGGATGGACCCAAGTGCATCCATATTTGTTTTTGCTGTTTGTTAATACAAGAAATGTATCCTTGTATTACAGAAAGTAAATTCCTAACAAAAGAATTGCTGGGTCACAGGAGGATAGCACTAAAAGTTCTGAAGTTGCCTGATTGCGCTCTGAAGGAGCTGTATCTATTTATCTATTTATATGCATCTACCAACGGTGTGTATTTCCTTCCCAAAAGAAACTATTTTAAAGTTCTTGACACATAATTGCCAGAATTCTTTTCCAGAAAGATTGTGCCATTTAACACCCCCACAGGCACCGCATTTCAAGTCTTGGGAAAGTGTATGGATAGACACTATCTTAAAGGTTCTGGGAATTGCTGAATATTTTTAACTTGATTCTTGCAATACGACTGTTTTGGAGCAGTATGGGGGCCATAGGAAGGACCTGCCTGTTGAACTCCACCTGGAAGTAGCAGGAGTCCATAGTGTCCTAACTTTTAAAGTGACTTCTGGGCTGTCCCAGAACAATGGTAACGTGTTCTAGTTATACCCAGCCAACCTGACTCCTCAGCCCTTCCTGTTCCCCTGGGGAGTCTATGAAAGGCAAGATAGTTGCAGTCTCAACAGAAGAAACATAGTATGATAGGAAGTATAAGAACAGAGTTGAAACGGCGGGGTCTGGGCGCTGGGTGCCTGGGTTTTAATGTTGGTGCTGTGTGTATTACTTTGGGCAAGTTAATGTCCTGTGCCTCAGTTTCCCCATCTGTTAAATATAATAGTCCCTACCTCATAGAGTTGTTAATAACATATAAATTGTTTAGAATACACCTGGCACATAACCAGTGGTCACAAGTTATCTATGGCTAATTTTTAATTCTGTTGCCTTGGACAAGTCACATTACTTCAGTCTGTTTTTCTTATCTGTAAATGGGCTGATATTTAATAGTAAAGTACGTGTGGGGCTCCTAAAGGTGCCTAGTCTGAACTGCAGGAGGCTCTCCAGCTCATGTTTTCATCATCTGATCCCTCGCCCCAGCCTTGTACACAATGAGAAGTTTTGTTAAATGAGTGAGGCATTAAATGACTGTTGTCTTGTTCTCAGCAGTCCTAGTTATCCAGCTAACCAAAAAAGCCATTAGAACTACGGTCGTGCGTTGCTCAATGACGGGTATGTTCTGAGAAATTCGTCGTTAGGTGATTTCATTGTTAGGTGATTTCATCGTTGTGCGAATATCGTAGAGTGGACTTACACGAGATGGTTTGTGTCAGCAGATAGCCTACTACACACCTAGGCTATGTGTTACTGATCTTACAGAACCACTGACACACATGTGGTCCGTTGTTGACCAAAACTTCGTTACACGGCACACGACCGTAGAAGAGGTGGGGAAACGAGTGCTCACTGAAGACCTACAGTGTCTGCACTTTCCCCGATCCTAGGATGGTGCCAGGCACAGGCGCTCCACAAACATGTTAAATTAATCACTTCGCTTAACCTAGGCACCTACCTTATGAGGTTGTCGTGATTAGGCATGTTTAATAGAAACTCTGAGAGGTGGGCCCACCATATCCAACCTGCATTGACAGGCGAGCTCTGGCTTGGCCCGCACCTGTTTCCTTCACCCTGTCAGGCCAGACCTGCTTATGGCTGTTGCCTCTTTTTCCTGGCCCACCCCAACCCACATACACGGTGTAAATCTTCATGTTATTACCTAGTCTGAAATGAGTCAAGATTAAGTCAGTTTATCAAGGCCATGCTCTGTAAATTTAAAAGAACCACTTTTTGAAAATCTGATGAAACCTATAGATCTTCCCAAGAGAAATACTTTGTCTCAAGATTAACCCCTCCCTCCAACTGTTGGCGGACTCCTCAGTCAAAAACCCATGGTTTTAGAAAGTGTAATCATCCAAGAAGTTGAGAGGCAAAATATGTTAGTTTGCTTTAAAAAGTAATAATTTATTTAAAAGTGGTGTGGATCCTTCCTGGCCTTTCCCCCAAGCATTTGTACATTTCAGACAGGTTTTGTTTTAAACAAAAATGGTCACATTTTACCCTCTGTTCTGCAGCCTATTTCTTTCACTTAACTTCTGTCTCCATGTCAGGGCATATGGAAATTCTGCATCGTTTTTGTACTGTGGGTAGACCCAAATTTACCTTTTTGAGGCTATAGACATTTCAGTAAAAGGTACCCTTCCTCCTTCTTGGATCTTTGTATATCTGTGCAAATGTCTGTTGTTTAGATCTGAACACCTGGAGTTGCTGGGTCTGAGGTGTACCTATATGACTTCTCAGCGGTGGGGTGTACGTATAATAAATAGGATAGTCAGGAAATGAGAAAGATAAAGTAGCTTAGAGAGACTCTCTATGCACCTGGCTTCTTATTTCCAGGGCCCAGGCATCTGGCTGAAGGCACACTCCCAAAACAGGCATTTTATTATTTTTTTTAAAGAGTTTTCTTTTCTTTTTTTTTTTAATTTATTTTTTTCCCCCCAAAGCCCCAGTGGATAGTTGTGTGTCACAGTTGCACATCCTTCTAGTTGCTGCATGTGGGGCGTGGCCCCAGCATGGCCGGAGAAGTGGCGCATCACCCGGGATCCGAGCCCGGGCCGCCAGCAGTGGAGCGGTGCGCTTAACCGCTAAGCCACAGGGCCGGCCCAAGACAGGCATTTTAATGTGCAGGCTAGCACTAACCATGAAGAGAATAGGACCCAATTACAAAAGAAATCCATGGACCAATCATTTTTAGGAATATAACTGCCCAGAATAGGACTGTTGTTCGATTTCATGTAACAGTAGTAGAAGTTGCAAATGGAGGTAGAGGAATAAAATTCATCCTTCCCATCCCCTCCTTCCATTCTTGGGCTTCTCTCTTTATATAATGGCTTCTTAACCCTTTAATGCCCTAATCATTAAGACATTTCTATAGGTTTTTCATAATCTGGAAGGTCAGTGAAGTCTTTTTCTGTGGTCATGCCTTTCTTGGATGAGCTATGTTTGCTTCTTTTCTATGTGTTTTCTCATATATGAAAATAGTCCTAGGAATATCTCCTTGGCCTTCCTGTCTAAATTCACCCAGTGTACTGTTCTCCATTTTTAAGTGAAGTTAGTACTACCGTCATAATTGTTGGTACCTTTAAACTTTAACCGTCCCTGGTGGGAAGGTGCACTTATTACATTGCTTGAATGAGTGATTTACTGCAGTTCTTCTTTCGATGAGCCCAGGATGGAGATCAGCAACCAGGGTTTGAGCAGGTTCCCATATCATTTTTATGGATGGCGTGAAATCCGTTTGTCTTTGCAAGCCAGCTCTGAGTGGAGTGCAGAGGTCCAAGGGGATTATTTTAATAAATTGTATGAGTTTCCTAGGGCTGCCTTAACAAATTGCCGCAAACTGGATGGCTTAAAACAGGAGGAATTTATTCTCATGGTTCTGGAGGCCAGATACCTGAAATTTAGGTGTGGGCAGGGTTGGTTCCTTTTGGAGGTTTCGGAGGGAGAGTCTGATCCAGGCCTCCTTCCTACCTTTTTTTTTTGAGGAAGATCAGCCCTGAGCTAACATCCGTGCTAATCCTCCTCGTTTTTTTTGCTGAGGAATACCAGCTCTGAGCTAACATCTATTACCAATCCTCCTCCTTTTTTTTTCCCCCAAAGCCCCAGTAGATAGTTGTATGTCATAGTTGCACATCCTTCTAGTTGCTGTATGTGGGACGCGGCCTCAGCGTGGCCAGAGAAGTGGTGCGCGCCCGGGATCTGAACCCGGGCCGCCACTAGTGGAGCGCGCGCACTTAACCGCTAAGCCATGGGGCCGGCCCTCCTTCCTACCTTCTGTTGGCTTCTGGCAGTCCTTGGCTTCTAGCCTCCTAACTCCTTCTCTGCCTTGTCTTCACGTGGTCTCATTCTCTGTCTCATCTTCCCTTCCTTTCTCTTTAAAGACACCAGGCATCGGGTTTGGGACCCTCCCTAATTATGTTTGCAAAGATCCCGTTCCAAATAATGTCACATGCACAGGTGCCTGGGGTTAGGACTTAGACATATTTTAGGGAGATATAACCACTATGTAAGTCGTTGGCTCGTTTAGACCCTTGGATGCCTCGTTCCCTTAAAGTCTTCTGCCTTTTGGGACACAGATCATGAAGACCTCTGTTGTATTGTGAGTTGTTGTGGTTTTTCCCAAGAAATCACCCCAGATCCTTTCTTGAGTAGAATTTCTGAGCTTTTTCTCTCTTGTCACAGGTGTTCCAGTGACCCACCCGGGGAAGGGTGATGACGTGAGTGGGGACGGAGCGACGGTGAAGAGGCCTCGTCGGGAGGAGACTCACATCTGTGAGAAATGCTGTGCCGAGTTCTTCAGCTTCTCTGAGTTCTTAGAACATAAGAAAAATTGCACTAAACATCCACCTGTCCTCATCATGAATGACAGTGAGGAACCGGTGCCTTCAGAAGACTTCTCTGGGGCTGCGCTGAGCCACCAGCCACACAGCCCGAGCAGTAAGGACAGTCACAGGGAGGATGGCGGCAGCTCAGGGGACGCCAAGGAGAGGCCGGGGGCAGAGTCTGTCGTGTACCTAAAAACGGAGACCGCCCCGCCACCTACCCCCCAGGACATAAGCTATTTACCCAAAGGCAAAGTGGCCAACACTAATGTCACTCTTCAAGCACTACGGGGCACCAAGGTGGCGGTGAATCAGCGGAGCGCGGATGCGCTGCCAGCCCCCTTGCCCGGTGCCAACAGCATCCCGTGGGTCCTCGAGCAGATCCTGTGTCTGCAGCAGCAGCAGCTACAGCAGATCCAGCTCACCGAGCAGATCCGCATTCAGGTGAACATGTGGGCCTCCCACGCCCTCCACTCCGGCGTGGCGGGAGCTGATACCCTGAAGACGCTGGGCAGCCACATGTCCCAGCAGGTCTCTGCGGCTGTGGCTTTGCTCAGCCAGAAAGCTGGAAGCCAAGGTCTGTCTCTGGATGCCTTGAAACAAGCCAAGCTACCTCACGCAAACATCCCTTCCACCACCAGCTCTGTGTCCCCGGGGCTGACGCCCTTCGCCCTGAAGCCGGATGGGACCAGGGTGCTCCCGAACGTCATGTCGCGCCTCCCGGGTGCTTTGCTACCTCAGGCCCCAGGCTCTGTGCTCTTCCAGAGCCCCTTCTCCACTGTGGCGTTAGACCCGTCCAAGAAAGGGAAGGGGAAGCCACTGAGCATCTCCCCGGTGGATGTCAAACCCAAAGACGAGGCCGTCCTCTACAAGCACAAGTGTAAGTACTGTAGCAAGGTTTTTGGGACTGATAGCTCCTTGCAGATCCACCTCCGCTCCCATACCGGAGAGAGACCCTTCGTGTGCTCTGTCTGTGGCCACCGGTTCACCACCAAGGGCAACCTCAAGGTGCACTTTCATCGACACCCCCAGGTGAAGGCAAACCCCCAGCTGTTTGCCGAGTTCCACGACAAAATGGTGGCAGGCAATGGCATTCCCTATGCGCTCTCTGTCCCTGTCCCTGTAGACGAGTCGAGTCTCTCTTTAGACAGCAAACCTGTCCTGGTAACAGGGACCCCCAGTATAGGGCTACCTCAGAATCTCTCTTCGGGGACTAACCCCAAGGACCTCATGACCAACGACCTGCAGCCCGGTCCTTCTCCAGAAAGTGAGGAAGGATCCCTGCTCTCTGGGGTGGGGCCAAACCATAATTCCCCGAGGGTTGGTGGCTTCCAAGGGAGTGGGACCCCTGAGCCAGGGTCAGAGACTCTGAAATTGCAGCAGCTGGTGGAGAACATCGACAAGGCCACCACCGACCCCAACGAATGTCTCATTTGCCACCGTGTCTTAAGCTGCCAAAGCTCCCTCAAAATGCATTACCGCACCCACACCGGGGAGAGACCCTTCCAATGTAAGATCTGTGGTCGAGCCTTCTCCACCAAAGGCAACTTGAAGACACACCTTGGGGTTCACCGGACCAACACATCCATAAAGACGCAGCATTCGTGCCCCATCTGCCAGAAGAAGTTTACCAACGCAGTCATGTTGCAGCAGCATATTCGGATGCACATGGGTGGGCAGATTCCCAACACGCCCCTGCCGGAGAATCCCTGTGAGTTTACAGGTCCCGAGCCAATGATGGTCAGTGAGAATGGCAGCACGAGTGCCGTCTGCCATGATGACATTGTCGAAAGCATCGATGTAGACGAAGTCAGCTCCCAGGATGCCCCCAGTAGCTCCTCGAAGGTCCCCATGCCTCTTCCCGGCGTCCACTCGGCATCACCAACTCTAGGGTTCACCATGATGGCGTCCCTAGATGCCCTGGGGAAAGTGGGTCCTGCTCCTCTTGTCCTGCAGCGGCAGAGCAGCAGAGAAAACAGTTCCGTGGAGAGTGACGGCTTGACCAACGACTCGTCGTCCTCAGTGATGGGAGACCAGGAGTATCAGAGCCGAAGTCCAGACGTCCTGGAGACCACGTCCTTGCAGGCACTCTCCCCGGCCAATAGCCAAGCAGAAAGTATCAAGTCCAAGTCTCCTGATGCTGGCGGCAAAGCAGACAGCTCCGAGAGCAGCCGCACCGAGATGGAAGGTGATAGAGCTTTGGATTTAACTTAAGTCCGTTTTGGGCACAAGGTCATCCAAAAGGAACCTGGGTTGAACTTTACAAACGGAGAGTATGATGTATGCGAAGCAGCTTCTCTGTAGGGCAATTAGTCTGTCTGTTCTTTGGGGTAGAGGGAAATAATAACCACCTCTGTCCTAGTACTGACATGCTTTTATTGATGATGGTTAATGCATATTGGGTATGGACAGCATACTTTCTTGTTGGTTTTTATTTTTGTGTTTGAGCCCCATAGGGACAAATGGGTAATCTCAAGTAAATACTCCAGTAAAAGAATATTAGAGAAACTGGGTTTTGACCACTGAGATAAGCCATAGTTCCTTGATTCTGAGATCCCACTCCCTTTTTAAGGTTCACAGGTTAATAACTCTTGAAGGCGAAAAAAGAATCTAACCCATTTGAAATGCACATATAAATGTGGGGTGCCTGTTGAGGTCATTTATAGTAGAATGAGGGAATTAAAGAAGGTTGGCATCTGGGCAGACTTGAAAGATAACTTTTTATGCAGGAATTTAAACTTGAATTGCAGGGGTTTATGTGTTGCCCATACTTTTACACCAAAATGGTAAACTTTCCTTAAGCATTTGAGTCATTATTCTCTATGCAGGTAAACAAGTCAAAGGAAGGCTGCTTCCAAGGTGTAAATTTCCTGAAAGCCATTTCCAGGCTCTCAAACAGCGGGCAGTTGTTATCAAAGCTCTTTTTTGGTTTGAAGAGTGAATGAGTGTGGGTTGATAAAGGTCTGGGATTTTTTTTCCTTTGCGTACTAGGTCGGAGCAGTCTGCCATCAACATTCATCCGAGCCCAGCCAACCTATGTCAAAGTTGAAGTTCCTGGTGCGTTTATTGGACCCTCGACCATGTCGCCAGGCATGACACCTTTGTTAGCGGCCCAGCCACGCCGACAGGCCAAGCAACACGGGTGCACGCGGTGCGGGAAGAACTTCTCGTCCGCGAGCGCTCTTCAGATTCACGAGCGGACTCACACTGGGGAGAAGCCTTTCGTGTGTAACATATGTGCACGAGCTTTTACCACCAAAGGCAACTTGAAGGTGAATTTTCTTAGGGTTTCAGCAGGGATGGGGGCTCCACGTTAAGCAGCATCTCTTTAGTGGTCTTATCTATCCATGACTAATTCTTCCATTAAGACCAAATGGGGTATTATGTAGTCATCTCACAACTGGCTCTTGAAATATTATTCTTTAAAAAGAAGTGTCTTTTCTCACATTATAACATTTCTGAACTTGGGATGCTTCTTGCACTCAGTGTCTGAAATCGGTAATGCTTTTTCCTAATCTTAGTGGCACACAAAGTAATGATGTGTTTTACAAGTAATGCTCTCTGGGAGCCGGGCACATGGTCTACCTTGTGCTCCTGTCTCTCCGTGTCAAGTCCAGCATCAGTGGTTTTCCCTCCAATATTGGGGCAGACCGTGATTTCTTGGATCAATAGTTTAGTAGATGTATGAAATCAAGTCTGGGAGCATAGATAATATTTGTCATGTGGGTACTGTAGTATTGATAAGTCATTTATGGATTTGCATATGCTTCCACACTTGATGACTACCCTGTACATTGGTTTTTATTTTCCTAGCCTGCTAGGTTGAATAAATGCCATGAATTAAATATGCATATAATACAGTACCGCTGGGATTAAAGAAAAAAGTCTCAGGTTATGAACCATGCTGTTAAACCTGAGCAGCTGGGTCCTTCCAAAGAATGGCCTATATTATAATGAGTTGGTTCCAGCTAAGATTTTTCTGGGGAGATGGGGAGAGGAAGACTCCCATGTAAGGATTGAAAGTGGCTTGGGGAAGAACACAAGAAGGGAGTAGGGGACCCAGGTTTTCCTCTTGGCCCTGCCTCCAGTTTGCACAAGGCATGTTTCTCGATGGACCTTTCTCTGCCTCTCCAGTGAGTAGACTAGTTGATTCTTTGTAGCTAGAATAAAGGTTGAAACTTCATCTTAAAGTTGACCTAGAAGACTATATGTCATTTTAAAAATTGAAAATATTTATTACAAAAACAACTTATATAGAATATAATTTATATATTACATATAATTGATATAGAATATAAAAGTATAGTTTTTTAGTCTAGTTGGCAAAACTGCCAGAGGAGGAACATGAAGTAGCCTAATCTCAATACCGACCTCTAGAATATAAAGCTGAAATTAGTTCACAGGCCCTGGGGTCAGCCCCGGCCAAGGTCTGGAGCTGCTGTTGCTGCGTAGGTGGCCTTGGCAGATGGCCCCTTGTGCCTTGGTTTCCCAGGCATGGGGATAAGAATAATGACAACTTCAGGGTTGTCCCGGAGATTCAGTGAGTTGTATTAGTAAAGTGTTTCAAAGTACGCCTGGAATATCTTAGCAGCTTCTTATTACGAGCAAGTCACTTCTGAGCCTGGTGGGATGATAGCTCCTAACTTCTAAGGATCTCAGTGAAGATGAAACGACAGTGCCTGAGACACCTGGCACCTGCCACATTCTTCAACTCTTTTTAAAGAATCTGAAAGGAATTTGAAAACTCAAAATCCAGACTGGGCCAATAATTGCAGAAAGGAGACCAGGTTGAAGAACCAATAGGTAGTAGGATCTCTTTCCCCGTCAGAAGAGGCCTTGCCTTGTCTGCCACCCGAGATTAAACAGCGTTCATTCCCCACTATCACCTTCTATAACCTTCCCAACAAGGCATATTTTTCTCTGTAGCAACGATTGCCCTCATCGATGAGCTACGTACTGAGGATGTCAGCTCCATTAGGGCAGGGTCTGTTTTGTTCAAAAGTTACTGTTTGAGTCAGATTTTTATTCAAGTAACTAGATTCACGTGCAGTGAGAAGTCACACGGATCTGCACATCCTGTGCCCAATTTCCCCCAGTGGCAGAATTTTGCAAAACTATAGTACAAATAATAACACAACCAGGATATTGACTTTGCTGTTATCTGCTGCTCTTGTTCAGATTTTCCCATTTCACTTGTACTTAATGTGTGTATGTGTTAAGTTCTATACAGTTTCATTACCTGGGTAGGTTTGTGTATTCACAGATCTTAACCCCAGCGCTTGAAACAATGCCTGGTACCTAGTAGGTTCACATAAGTGCACACGTGAACAGAGGGACGGGGATAAATTGGAGTGTATATTGCAACTACGATTGCCTTTACTTGCCTCTAGACAGGAATGTGGGCCAAATCATCTGATTTTTTTTTTTTCTTGAGAGAACAGATATCTGGGTTTTTTATATATGAAATCTGATTTTTAACTATAAGTTATCTTAAAACACTGAGTAGACTAAACTCATATGCAGGCTGACTGTGGCTTGCCAACATGCCATCAAGTCTCCGTTTTGGTGGAATCCTCTCTGTGCCTTTTCCCGTAGGTCCACTATATGACACACGGGGCCAACAACAGCTCTGCACGCCGGGGGAGGAAGCTGGCAATCGAGAACACCATGGCTCTCTTAGGAGCAGAGGGCAAGCGAGTCCCCGAGATGTTTCCCAAGGAAATCCTGGCCCCTTCGGTGAATGTGGACCCTGTGGTGTGGAACCAGTACACCACCATGCTCAATGGAGGTCTGGCCATGAAGACCAACGAGATCTCGGTGATCCAGAGCGGCGGCATTCCTACCCTCCCGGTGTCCGTGGGGGTCAGCTCCATCGCGAATAACACCACTGTCTCCAAGATGGATGGCTCCCAGTCAGCGCTCAGTGCCGAAGTAGAAAATCCAGGGCCTGCCGACGGCGTTCCCAAACACCAGTTCCCTCGCTTCCTGGAAGAAAACAAGATTGCCGTCAGCTAAGGAGAACCCACTAAGGAGAGCCCACGCGGAAACAGACGGTGACCTCTAGAGCTGTACCTTTTGTGTTGTTGTTTAAGAACCCACCTCCTGTTGGTTTTCTTACTGATGTGCAAATGATGTTTACAGTTGTAACCACAACCTCAGGCAAGTCCTACAATCACGATGTTGCTATGCTGCTTTGCAAAAAAAAAAAAAAAAAATTGAAAAAAATTGAAAAAAGAAAAAAAATTCATACTAAAACAGATAACAGACTAGTGTTGTTTTTTTTTTTTTTTTTAATTTTGGAAAGAAGCGGGTCTTGCAAAGTAGCTCTGTTACTTGCGACAAATTGTATACATGAAACCTTTGTGTAACCTAAAGTAACCTAGAGTAACTATTTCCAAAGACGGTCACCTATTTCAAGTTGGAACTTACTGAACGTCAATGGAAAAGACAACTGTGTTAGCCTAATGGGAGGGGGAGGGGTACTGTCTACTCCATGGTGACTGTATGCGGGTAAATGGATAAGGTCTGGCATCTGTTTAGGGACCTGCTTTGTATACCCCCCACTCCCAGCCCCTGCAGCCATCCTTTTTTTCTTTTCTTTTTTGAATGTACTTTAAAAAAACAACAAAACAAAAAAAAAACACCTAAGGTTGTGGAATTACAAAATTCCTTCAACCTTGGAACCTTAAGTAGGATGCCCTCGAATGGACTGATTTTGGTCCGTGGGGCGTCACTTGTGCGCACTGCTTATTTAAATACAGTTCAGTTGGAGCCCCGAGAGTGCCGATGTACCTCCCGATGCTTTTCCAGATGCCTCCTCCTGCCTGAACACCAGGAGAGGTGGGCACCTAGGCAGGGAATCTCAGGTGACTTAATTTAGTTTGCCAGTGCCTACTCGAGTATTGAAGAACTGGGTTTTCATTCTTGAAGAAACTCACGGAAGGGCTTGTTTCTTATAGGTTCACATACTGATTTTTACCAACATTTCCTTGGTGTGACTTATGCCAAGCAATTATGAAGAGTTTTTTTTTCCCCTGAGTATTGCATGAAGGCTACGAAGTTGGAACAGGCAAGTCCTGGTTGTGAAAGCTTTAATTTATCTACCTCATTTATTTTTTATTTTTGTAGCCATAGTCTCTATTTTCCTATTTTATGACCGCTGAAGTGTTCTAGGCTCTGTCTTAAACCTAAGAGTTGACTGATGTATTGGTGGGAGCAGCTGGATGTGCCGATTCTTTTTTTTTTTTTAATCCCCTTTTTGTATATGTAATATTAAGCAAACAATGAAACGTTGCTCTAACAGTTTAACAAAGGAGGAGAAAGAAAGACCCTAATTTCTGGGTGGAGAAGTCTTTCCCCCTCTACGTGGAGAAGTAGATCAAGACTGTTAGCAAAAGTTTGTCTCAGTTATTGCACCTGACTTCAGGATCCAAAAAAAATGTTTTTGTTTTTGCCAAATTGTGCCTTTCCTTCTGGAATTGTAAGTGAACACAATAATAGTACCCGTTGACACTGTGAAGTGGATATTGTTACAGAGAACACACCAGAGCTTTCTCACTGTTAAGCTAATAATGTCTTGTGAATGTATGATCTACGGAGAAACCCCTGTAGTTTTACCTGCTGATGCTGTCTGTCTGTCTGGAGAATAAATTTTGGATGTTTTTCCCCCCATCAGGTGTGTATGTAAGTTTTTCTGGTAGTTTCTACTCTAAACCTGAGAATCCTTACTAGACAGTCATTTCCAGCTGCCTTGTGACCCTCTGGGTCCTGGAATTGAAGATACACCTCTGGGTACATCCATGCTTGACTGGCATCTCACGCACACAAATAACTACTTGCTGGGTGGTATCTTTCCTTTTTAAGGCATAAAAGTTTCATTAGCGTAATCTCATTCTAGAGAACTTGCGTGTGTCTGCTTGTGATCAGAGAAGGGTTATCATGGCCTAGATTACCCCACATCTCAACCCGTCCTAACCTGGTACGAGTCACTGGGCAGAGAGACATCTCCGATATATGGGCTGCTTAGAAGAGAATGAGCCGAGAGTCACATGGGAGGTGGCATTTAAGCGAGGGTGGTGGGAAAAGTGCTTATCTGGAAGAGACACAAGGGCAAGACCGGGGGGTTAACGCCCCGCTGGAGAAGTATCCTCTTGCCTACCTTTTGCTGTGTTGGTCCTTAACACAAGAACCAGCATCAGGCCCAGGAGAGTCTTCAGGGATGTGGATGCCACAGCATCCTGGAGTGGATTATCTTGACATCCAGGAAAGGGCTGGAAGTTGTGTTTTTACAGCCTTTGACCTGACTGAGCTCTGCAGGTCAACATCCTTTGCAGGTGAATGCCCCTCCTCCCTAAGGCTTGCCTGTCTTTTGTCCTCAACTCATTTAATTTAGGGCGAAGCAGCCACCTTATTGACTCAGGGCAAGGTAAACCCACTCCTTCAGATAATTGAAATGGAAATATCTAATTTAATTTAACCTAATGTGCCCTAGTCCTAAGTATCTACAATTTTCACTCTGTCTCTCACTTAATACTTACCTGTAGTTACGTTTTAACGTCTTCCTAGATTTAAATGAGAATTATTTTATGTAAATGAAACATGTTTGCCCCTCTCAACATATTTTAGACATCTTTCCAAGGTAAAGCCTGTTTCTGGCTAATCCTTTTTAATATCTGCAATAATACAAATATATTTAATCAGCTATTGCTAGACAGTATTCATGTTTCCCTCAGACTTTAGTTAGATCATCTTTGTGACATAGGTTTTCTTGCATTGAATTAACTCCAAGGTGACTTCCTACTTGAGGTATCACTAGGGCAAAGATTATGAATGTGTTTGCAATTGTTTACAGAAGTGTGTACTCTGTGGGTGTGTATGCCTCTTTTCTCAGCTCTGATCTCTGAAGCCAATTCTTGAAGAGTAGATTGCAATGTGAGCACACCACTGTAGTATAGTGGATCCTCTGCGTGGATCCACAGAAGATAGGCAATATGGCTCCCACAGAACTTGCTGTTTTACTTGAGATCTGCCTGCCTTCTTGCATCTTCCTCTATGGGTTCCGTGTATTCAAAACTCTGATATTTGATGGATGATTTAAAAGAATCTCAACGTCTTCAAGAATAAATTGCCGGTTCTATGTCAATAAAACCGAGGGGGAAAAAACCTTCCCCCTCTTCCCCTGGCTGTCATGCCTTCAATTGGCACCCCCAGAGCCTGTTTAAAAGCAAGTGTTCTGGGTAAGGCATTGTTGCTTCACGTGGGGTAAATGCATTTGCAGGGAGGGCCTGGAGAGAGCTTGGGGAGCACCCTCCAGGTGGAGAAGTTGGACCCTTTTGGCAGGCAGCACTTGCCCAGGATCCATCGAGAACGGGATTGGGGTCTGGGTAAGGAGGTGTTTGGTTCAGTTATGTCTGACCACACCAGGTTGAGCCAGGTGACAGCTTAGCTAAACTGCAGCATCAAGGAAGGTGTTGAAATATCTGCACGTTTACAGGAAGCTCTTCAGTGGAGTTTCAAAGGCAACTCACAGCGACATGACCTGTTGTAAAGTTTACAACTCAGCAGATTGCTTGAGCCCAAACAGGAAAGTGAGCACATGTCAGCATTATAGAAAGTCTAGAAACAAAATCAGTGCGGAGTTAGATGAAACAGGTACATTTCAAATCTGGAGAAAGGATGGGCTCATGATGCGATAACTGGCTCTTCATTTGGGAAAGAAGTCCCAGGTCACTACTCTGGCCAGGTGCCCTAGGGCAAGAGAATTTATGGAACCTTGGATACCTCATCTGCAAAATGGGGATGATATTTGATACGCAGGATTATGGCAAGATTACACGAGAGCATGAAAACGCTTAATCTGGGACATAGTACGCATTCAATATGGTAGCCATCACTCTTTCTCCTGTTTGGCTCACAAAATCTACAGTATCCTACTTAGGCAGAAATTGCCCCAACTCTGGGCAATCTCAATCTGTTGAGGGAGGAGGTCACGTGGGTCAGGAAACACCTGGTGGTGGGCTGCTCCTTTATCTTGAACATGTTCATTTTTGCAGCTCATAAGGCAGGGGCCACGCATGCAATGGCATATTTCAGCATTCCCTGATTGAATGCTTTAAATATATAAAGTGCGAAAAAGTAGGCTAGTTAGGGATAATTTTTAAGGTAAATTTTAAGGTAATGCGTCTTCAGATAAGGTCACATAAGCAACTGAGTATGTTAGCAGAGGTTACCACATTTCATTGACTTCTGCATGTACATTTTAGCTCCTTCCCCACCATCCCCATCGAAAAACACTCCATCTGGTTGGAAGTCGCAAAATGGCAGAACTTTGCTGATTCTATGCCCTTTCCTTGGGGAAAGCCCATTTTGAGCGCTGGTGTTGAAGAAGCTTTTCCCTTTCTATTTACTTCACGTAAATCGTTTGTTTGTTTGTTTCTAATGCTTGCTGATTGCTCTGATGGCTTTCAGGCCATCCTCACGGGAGAAATTATTTTCACTGACCTCGCTAAATATCCTGAGTTAACTGTTGTGTCAGAGGCCGATTCTATCTTCATGTTCTTTTTCTCGTATGGCGGAGACCACAGAGGAGGGAGAAGAAGACTCTACCGGAATTTAAGATTGCTAATCTTTGGGTCTCCACAGGTCAGTGAAATTGTTTTCACTGTGAAAAATAGGGGAGAAGTAGGAGGAAAACGCTTAGGGTTGCCAACTTTTCATTTTTATCAAGTAAGGACAACTAACAACAGCACAACCAACATCTCTTTCACATCACCCTGTTTTATTACCCACACAGCATTTTGCACTCTCTAAAATGTTTACTTGCTTATTTTCTGTCTACCCTGTTAGGATACAATATTCAAAAAAGGGAAAGTCATGACTCCTACAAATACGAAATGAACATGTGTCCAAGATTTTATCTAACAGATTTACAACTGATTTAAAGAATTGGAAGAACTCCAAAACTGCAGGCAATCAGGAATGTTGTAGTGAATTTATAAACAGACACAAAACACCGTCAATATCCACCGGGCAATAATCAACTGCATTCCTTTGGATAAAATTCATTTGCATTTCTATAGACAAGAAGGATTGGTATTACTCTCAGTTTTCTACACCTCATGAGTTGTAAAATAGCTCAAAGACAATGAAAGGCACAGATAACCTGGAAGAGTATGCTAGACTGTCATCCATCATCTTTCTTGCCCAT